GAGCATCTAACTTGATGCTTCTGTTTTAGATTGTTCATTTAAAACTATTGGTGTTTGTTAGATTTTCCAATAAACGTTTGGATGACATAAATGTCAAAACTATCGCAACGTGAGTTTAGAGCTTTAAGAAGCAACTAATACCCATCATATTTTGAACACTATGGGGACTGATACTGTCAGCAGAATTCCTAGCCATAGCCTACAGTATCATAGTAATGGATGTTATTTCTGGATTATTTGGGTAATGGAGGATCTTTTGAAATACTGAAGTACTTACTTACTTACTTACGCCTGTTACTCCCAATGGAGCATAGGCCGCCGACCAGCATTCTCCAACCCACTCTGTCCTGGGCCTTCTTTTCTAGTTCCATCCAATTCTTGTTCATTTTTCTCATATCTATCTCCATTTCTCGGCGTAATGTGTTCTTTGGTCTTCCTCTCCTCCTTCGACCTTGAGGATTCCATATGAGGGCTTGTCTTGTGACGCAGTTCGGTGTTTTCCTCAATGTGTGTCCTATCCACTTCCAGCGCTTCTTCCTGATTTCTTCCTCCACTGGAATCTGATTTTTTCTCTCCCACAGTAGGTTGTTGCTTATAGTGTCCGGCCAGCGGATCTGAAGTATTTTGCGTAGACAACTGTTAATAAACACTTGTATCTTTTGGACGATGGATTTCGTAGTTTTCCAGGTTTCCGCCCCATACAGTAGAACTGTCTTCACATTTGTATTGAAAATTCTGACTTTGGTGTTGGTTGACAGACAGTTGTTATGAGTTCCAGATATTCTTCAGTTGTAGATATGCTGCTCTTGCTTTGCCAATCCGTGCCTTCACATCTGCATCAGATCCACCGTGTTCATCGATGATACTGCCCAAATATGTAAGGGTTTTTACATCTTCCAAAGCTTCTCCGTCAATTGTGATTGGATTGGTACATGCTGTGTTGTATCGAACAATCTTGCTTTTCCCTTTGTGTATATTGAGACCTATTGCTGCTGAGGCTGCAGCTACACTGGTTGTCTTCTCCTGCATTTGTTGTTGTGTATGCGATAGAAGAGCCAGATCATCTGCAAAGTCTAGATCATCCAACTGCATCCTAGATGTCCACTGTATCCCGTGCTTTCCTTCAGATGTTGACGTTTTCATGATCCAGTCGATCACCGGAAGAAAGAGAAAGGTTGAGAGTAAGCAACCTTGCCTGACACCGGTCTTTACTTCGAACGACTTTGTCAACTGTCCTCCATGAACGATTTTGCAGTTTAATCCATCGTAGGAATTCTGTATGATATTGACTATCTTCTGAGGCACACCTTAGTGTCGAAGAAACTTCCATAAGGTTGTTCTGTCTACGATATCAAATGCTTTTTCGTAGTCGATGAAGTTGATGTAGAGTGATGAATCCCATTCAATTGATTGTTCCACAATGGTTCGTAGAGTTGCGATTCGATCTGTACACGATCTATCCTTACGGAATCATGACTGTTGGTCGCGAAGTTGGGCGTTTACGGAGTCCTTCATCCTGTTTAACAATACCCCGTTGAAGACTTTTCCTGGTGTTGAGAGAAAAGTGATTCTCCTGTAGTTGTCACAGTTGCTGAGATCGCCTTTCTTTGGTATTTTGACTAGAAGTCCTTCTTTCCAGTCTTTTGGTACCTGCTCTTCATCCCAAATCTTTCTGAAGAGAGTTTGGAGTATCCTTGCAGTTGCCGCTACGTCTGCTTTCAGTGCCTCTGCTGGAATGTTGTCTGGTCCTGCTGCTTTGCCACTCTTGATTTGTCTGATAGCCATGCTGGTTTCTTCAATTGTTAGTGGGCCAACATCGATTGGGAGGTCCGTGAGTGCTGCTTCGATGTTGGATGGGTTCAGTGGGGCTGGTCGATTCAAGAGTTCTTTGAAGTGTTCTACCCATCTGTTTCGTTGTTCTTCAATGTTGGTGATTATCTTGCCTTCCTTGCTTTTCACTGGTCGTTCTGGTTTACGGTGATTTCCAGAGAGTTTCTTTGTTGTTTCATACAGTTGTCTCATGTTTCCTTCTCTGGCAGCCTTTTCCGCCATCAATGCCAAATCCTCCACATATTTACGTTTGTCAGTTCTGATGCTCCTTTTCACTTGCTTGTTTACTTCTGTGTATTCAGCTTGTGCCTTGACTTTTTCTGCTCTTGTTCGACTGGTATTGATTGCTGCTTTCTTGTTCCTCCTTTCTTGAATCTTATCCAGTGTATCGACCGTGATCCAATCCTTGTGATGGTGCTTCTTTTGGCCCAGAACCTCATGACATGTTGAAGTGATTGCTTCTTTTATCTCTTTCCAGTTGCTCTCCATAGTAGTTCCTTCTCCATTGAGTAGATCATGAAAGGCTTGGAACTTATTGCTGAGGGTTATCTTGAATTTGTTGAGTTTGTCATTATCCCGAAGAAGAGCCATATTAAACTTTTGTGATATTGTCCGCCCCGTTGTCCAGTGCTTCTTGAGTTTCAATTTCATCTTGGCGACCAGCAAGTGATGATCTGATTCTATATCGGCTCCTCTCTTTGTTCTCACGTCCTCCATCGTCCTCCTGAACTTTTTGTTGATGCAGATATGGTCGATTTGGTTCTGTGTGGTGTGATCCGGTGAAGTCCATGTGGTTTTGTGTATGCATTTATGTGGGAATATAGTCCCGCCTATGACCATTTTATTGAAGGCACATAAATTTGCAAATCTCTCACCATTTTCGTTCCTTTCTCCCAGTCCGTGTCTTCCCATGGTCTCTTCATATCCGGTGTTGTCAGTTCCAACCTTGGCATTTAGGTCTCCCATCAGAATGGTCAGGTCTTTTGTTGGGCACTTCTCGACGATTGACTGCAGCCTATCGTAGAATTGATCTTTAGCGTCTTCATTGTAGTCATTGGTAGGCGCGTAGCATTGGATGACGTTCATTGTAATGCCCTTTTTCTTTGTTTTGAAGGAGGCTTTGATGATTGTTGGTCCATCTTATAAGTGCATTTTGTGCTTGTTTGGACAGCATCACTGCTACTCCTTGTGTATGTGGGGCATTTCCTTCTTCATGTCCGGAGTATAACAGCAGCTCCCCTGAAGCTAGTCGTTGTTGTCCAACTTGCGTCCAATGTGTTTCACTGATCCCAAGCACCTCTAAATTGTATCTCCTCATTTCCGCAGCAATTTGGAAAACTCTCCCAGTCTCCGACATTGTGCGAGCATTCCATGTACCTAAATAAATGGTTTTTCTGGTTGTCAGAAGGGGCATCGGCCTCGTGACTTCCGAAGAAACTCGGCTTTCATCGTGAGGCGTCATAATTCTTCTAAACGAAGACCTTCTGACTCCCAGGGCAGAGTTTAAATGGTTTGAATAAATTTTTCTGGTTAGCGTTTTTTTAGCGAGTTAGTTTTCTACGGGATGGGGTCGCTGACCCCATGCCCAACCCTCCTCCTTCTATCCGGGCTTGGTACCGACAGTAGCCTCCCGAAAGGGACTCCAGGCGGAGTTTAAATACTAAAGTGTTGGTACACTAATTAAATGGATCAGTCGAAGTACTGAAAACACTGTAGTGTTATCGGTAGGATTTCGTCAGTAATAAGGACTAGACAAAATTATTTTTGGTACTACTTTGAGTGACTTACGAAGATGATGAATTTTAATAGGGTTAAACAGAAATGATATAACCTCCTAGATTGTGTCGAGGTCACGTCCCTCTATCAGTATGTAATCTTGTCTATCTTGTCATGATAACACTGTGAATCATCTTACTTGGTGACACTCTAGGATACATAGGGTTTAACAGGGGTAGTTCCATCTATTAGTAGGAATAGATTAGAGAAGGAGTCATAATAAAAAGTAACACTGAGGACATAAAAAACTTTGAAGCTATTAATCCTTTCGAATAATTTAGCTAGAGTAGAAAAAATATAACGTTTCTGATATGCTTAAGTGATTTCAAGAACAAATAAACTCCGAGACAATAAAAAACGAATCCTTATGTAATTGTGAAGCATTTTATAAACTTGTAGTAAGATTGACTTTAAGATGAATCTTTTAGTAATGTGTACCAATAGTCAGAGATAAACCTCAGTCAAATAAAAATTCAAGTCTCCACACTTTACCGAAAATCCAAGAGTACATATTCTGGTGACGATAATTTCAACTTCATTAAAAATGGTGTTAATGCTTTTGTTATTATATTATGACCGGTCCAGTTAGATAACTTTTGTTTCTTATATACATATCTTAAAAAGTTATAGAGTGAACAGGTTGTTCAATTTATACCTATTCGAAAGCAAATAATCAGCTTTAACTTATTATCATATCAAATGTTTTATTGAAATCGTGAACTGATCTACGTTGGATTACCATTGAAAGCCTGGACGGCCGTTTCGTCCTAGAAAGGGACGTCTTAGCAGTGAACATGCATGGTTCCGTACGCAGAACTCGGACCCAGGACCTTCGGTCTCGCGCGAACGCTTAACCTCTAGACCACTGAGCTTAGATGGGTTAGATCGGCTAATGATTTTAATGAAGTTCAACATTTTCCACACCTCCACAATCCAATATTTTATATTAGACGAAGTGCACATATAGTTCTATGTTTTACTTTCGCCTATTTTCGTGGAGATTTAAATATTGTTCTGTCTCTTCTAATTCGAAAATTTAATTAGCCTTCATATAAAACGTTCTTCCAAAAGTTTGTATACTTATATAAAAGCTTTTTGTTTTCAAAATACTGAAGAAATCTTGAATTTACTAAGTCAGCACTTTTTTGGCGAAAATCTCTCGTAGAACTGTCACATACAACTCTAGACACCTCATGTGGAAATGTTTAGCAGAGTTTAGTTATTCTGTAATGAAAGTTCTCATTAAAGGTTCCTAACTTATGAGTTGAGAATTTATTTAGAGTATACTGAGTCGCAGTCAGTCATTTTCTGAAAATCCCAGAAATTTTCAATCTTTTTACTAGTATTTATACAGTTTTTCCATGTATAGCATATATTCCTTTATTATCTTACAGGCATAAAACAGAGTGTAAATCGCTAACCTCCCACAGTCTACCAACGAAACATTATCGTACTCGTGACTCTGTACTGACTACACTGTTTCAAATCTCTCATATACGTACTGTTTATAATATATTTGTTGCTGTGACAATAATCTTCTCAGCGAATACAGTGATACAAGATTTTATTGATCCTAAGATTAATTTATATGCCTACGATATGGACATATTGCGGTTCACATTTGGTAATTTAGATGATGTATTCCGTATATGGCTTTCAATGAAGATGTCCACTATTTTTATACCATTTTGGGGTGTTCTATTGTGGATGGCTTATAGACCAAAAATCGGCAACAAAATCTGTTCAACGGATTGGGTTTTCTTTATTGCGTATATCATTTATCAGGTTAGTTAGTTGGTGGAACGTTGAATTTTAATATCCGTTTTTTTCTTCTGTATTATATTTTTCATCTTTTACCTAATTAAATCTGCTTGCAGTTTTAACCATGTTGATCACATAAACAACCACTGATAGGTGTGATTCATACTGGCGAAAAAAGATATCAGTCTTCAGAATTAAATTGCATAATCTTTTTGTATAATATATATCATATTCTACCATAGTTTAGTCGGTTGGCTGGTCATCATCATTTCATTTCTCAAACTACTAAAAATCTGAAAACTAGACAAAATGATTTATTTTCAATAATATACAGAAGAGAAAATTTCCACGAAATACCATGACCAGTGATTCTAGTCAAAATTAGAATGGCAGAATGTGTTTACTGTTAATATTAAACAATAGTTATGAAACACCAATGTGCTCTTCCTGAAATCGGAAAATGTCTGGTGAAAAGGTTTGAGGTGATGTTTTTGATTAAGTACGCTGATGTCTACACGAAACAAATACTTCTACCTTTGCTATTGTGCTCTGTTGAAACAAATCGATCATGAAATGTAAACGAGCAATTTATTAATAAATTAAACAGCTGCTGAAAGATTTGACGATATTAGTGAATTTTTCCATCAAGAATTAGCAACGCCAAAAAACTATAGAAAACCAGTAAGTACTGAATAGACGTTTCATTTTATGTTGACTCACTTCGACAGTAAGTACCAAAGATGAACAACATTGTGTTTAACCTTCTGATTTACATGTTGTCGTCATCATTTAGGAAAAACTTTTATTATTGTTTAGATTCATTGACTACCAAATGCAGTGCTGAGAATTCTATATTGTACCAAAATATAATATTGAATAAAGCCATAAATAATAATAATAATAATATTATTATTATTATCTGATCAATTTCAAGAAAAACAAAACAGTAAACAGATGTTTCAATCATCAAATTCTGGAATTCCATAGATGTTCTTATTTTTCTAGTATAAAATGAAATTGATAAGAATCCAATGGCGGAAATTCGTAAGCAAGTGTAAAGAAAATAATGGCACAATGGTTCAGTGTTATATTGTTAAGAACTTTCATTTAGGATTTGAAACATAATTTCCAATTAAGAAGCCAACAATTGAATGAAAAAAGTAAGATAATTGACTATCTTACATACCATTAGCTCCAAAGATTTTTCAAATCACAATTAGCGAATTAAGCTAGTGAATGACAAAATTTGTTCAATATTTCACTATGATACACACTATAAATAATAATAATAATACTATTGATAGTATGAACTAATAGAACTTCTATAGGATAATCGATTATTACATTTTTATGACCATTATATTTTACTACAAGTTATAAATTTCACCAATAAATACCATTTGGAATCACATGATAATAACGAGATGTAATTCACATGAACAAGTTAGTAAAACAGATTAATTTCAAGGTTTAGTATATAGAAATTCGGAATGGTCGATTAGCGTCTGTTTTTAATTAAAGAAATAATATGACAAACATCTTACGATTTATTAATTTTCTTATGAATATTGATAAAAATATATTAAAATGAAATGATCCATCTATAAATAACAACTCTAATGAAACATTTTGGATTGGTATCGTAGTTGTACCTTACCTCCAAGGTACAACAGAAGAATTACAACGCATCTAGAAAACATTCAGAATTAAAGCTTTCTATAAAACAACCAACAATCTTCGAAGTGCTTTAGTTATAATTAAATATAAGATCCTGTTAACATGCAAACAAAATTGTGTCTAGATTTTAAGTTGTGTAGATTGTAATGCATATTTTGTTGGATAGTCTTCTCATGAAAACTGGACTTGGGCCAAGGAACACTTAAACTACACCAAAAGCTCTAATAGTCCTGTGGAGTTTGAAAATATATAAATTAAACCGGCAATAGCAGTACAGGTTATTTTGAACAACCACCAAATCGATATTACAAATATCTAGATAATCCTAAAAGGCTTTTCTAATTATGAAGAAAGGCAAGTAGCTGAGACATTTCATTTAATGCTAAACTCCTCTGTCCTCAACGTGAAAGTAGGACTGACTACTTACTCGTCCACCTTGATCTATTTATTATAACAATAAATGTAGCTTTGTTCATATCTTACACAACTAACACATGCATTCACACGCAGATTCCAACACTGCTACTTCATATTAAAAATTTCACATTTTTCATATCCATACAAACACACAAATCGATGTCTCACACAGAGTTATTGACCCGAATTTAACATGACATTGATATGACCAGACCTATTTTAGCTTTGATATCAACTGAACTAGCTATTCTGCTTTGTCCCTTTTCTCTATTTAAACTTGTGTTAATTTAAAACAGTTATTTATTTACGCTGAACAAGTGGTTTACATCGAATCACAACATGCCAGGAATTCAAAATTATACAATCTTTGAAATATCATTATTTATTATGATAATTATTATCCATCACTCATAAGTCTGATATGTAGTAGGCATCTGTTTGTTAGTCATTCAGATAATCGTGAACAACTTATGCTTTGACGAAAATATGCGTTGATTCAAGCTGTTACACAATATCACGACTACGAAAGGAACCTATTGAGATTCATTATAAATAAGTAGAATCAACAACCTATTTACATTCAACTTTAAAACATGTGACACTCGTGATAATACAAATGAGTATAGGAATATTGATATTAATGAACTTACAATATGTTAGTGCTTCTGTTTGTGTAATTTCGAAATAAGTTTAGAGAGAGTTAAATGATACAATGGTATGTTTTTGATTCATTGCAAAGTTTGTTCGTAAACTTGTTAACATTTTAATCGAGCAGTTGCTTACAAAGCTTTATGTACGCTAACGTACTCAGATTTTGAAGAAAATCATATCCTATCTAAAAGAAGCCAAATATTTGAAGCTTGATACTAAGGAGTGACTTTGAATAAACAAACATTGAAAGCCAGAATACGTTGGACAGCTGTTTCATCCTAGTATGGAGCCCCACAGAAGTGCACATTTATGAGCTTGTAGGGGAAAGAACTCAGGACTTTCAACTTCAAATTCAACAATCTCCGTAATACTCTATAAAAACTTGTCAAATATGATTTATAAGTTTGGTTCTTGTTCAGTTTATTTGGATATAACTATTGTGTAACAATACAAATCCTGTTAAAGTTGACAGGTTAGTTAGGGTTATTAAATCTTTAGCGATGTTTTGTAGAACTGTTTTGAAAGACACGGAAATGTTTAACTTTATTCATTTATTCATGTTAATCGTTAGATGCTTGATCGGATCTTAAACCTAGTGAAATTGAATAATAATATTCACATTTAAAATTAATGGTCTGAAATTCGTTTATTTTGGTTGTTTAAATCTTTCCGTTGATGTGATCAGTCCCTCTTGACATATGTGCATTTTGTGCGAATTATCTCGATATTGCCATTAAGTCACAGACATCTTACACAGAGTTAGTGGAATCCAAGACAAGAGTTTTATACTACTCGGGATTCGTCAGTAAGAGGTCTCTGTACCCCTATGTTTTCACTTACGCCATGACACGAACCCAGTACCTTTCGCTCCAACAACCCAACAAAGTGTATCCGGCTGACTTATCCCGAATGGGATGAAACGCATGTTCTGAGTCTTCTTCCTAGCCACTGTTCAACTTTGTTTAAAGTATTCTGAAATTTCTATTATGAAACGCGTTCCCTATGAACAATTCACAATTTAATTTAAAAAGACTGTGAACTCTGGATAATGAGACAATATTTTTGTAGTTTCTTCAAATATTTACATGAAAGAAATTCTCAGTGAATTAATATTTTGACATCAAACTACTGCTATGTACTAATCTCCATTCATTACGTGAGCCAAATAGCTCATCCTCCTGTAAGTTATGGAAGTAATGAATAGAAAGTTGTTGCTCAAGGGGATAACCCTAAATTATGTCAGTAAACTTATCAACCCCTGTAATGTTTATAGGTACAATCAAGAAATGTACCCCACCCTATAATATATTCATGATAAGGTCCTATAAAAAGCATTTTTATGATCCTGAGTACCATGAAACTACTGTGATCAAAAGGATAAATGATGTCCAACTATTCTATGGAGTTTTTGACTTCATTTTCTGACAGATAAACATATCGACGAACTATATAAGCCTTATGGTTTTACTTGCGATAAGCACACAGATTGTACTGCCCAAAAATCACATAAACTTCCATTCGGCTCCATCACTTCAGATTTGACAACTTCATTTTTAAAGTACTTATTTATTTAAAAAGATTAGTCCCTTTGATAACCTTATATAATCCAGCGAGAAGAGAAATTTCTTCCTCCTACCTCCAAATTTGTCTTTTTCACCTTTCATTTTTCGCATAAAATGTCTTAACTAGTATATGTACATACATAATTCCGATAACCTTCTGATTGCATTATCCGAACGTATTTATTTGTTTTCCAGTTTAGCTCAGATAAGAAATCGAATATTACCAATTTATACAATGTGTTTTTTATTGATTTAAAACCAAGTGGAGTTTAATCATATGTTTTTAGATACGATACAGATATCTGATTAGTACTGACCTAATACTACGTACAACTTTTAGATAACCTTCAATTATACCAACATTTTCTTACTGTGAAAATAATAGGAAATATGATTGAAACTAAATTAAACAACTAAAGAATGGTACGGTAGATGTAAATATATATTACAACTCATTTAAATGGATGTTCGAATAAGTACATTGACAAGTACTGATTAGATTTATGACACAATAGCTGTACCCAAATTTCATTCATCAGAGAATGTTGCATAAGTCAGATTTTTGAGTAATAATCACATCGTGGATTGGTTGAAGTTAGAAATTAACACCGTTGGATGCCGGCTAAGTGATCTGGAGATTAAGCATTCGGGCGTAAGACAAAAGGTCTTGGGTCCGAGTCCCGCTCGTGGGATCGGGGATTCGCACTACTGAGGTGCCCCATACTAGAACGAAACGGCCGTCCAGTGCTTCCAGGTTTTCCATGGTGGTTTGAATTTAATCGACTCATGAATTCAACTATTAAATAATTACATTTATTGATCGATGATTAATATGTAGTGTTACTTTTGTTTTGTTCGCTCAGTTTTGTTGGAATGTTGTCAATTGCGTTGTAATATGGGCGCTAGTCTAATTAACCCGACATTGAAGCACAATATGTTCAAAGTATTCTACAGAAATTCTTTGGTATAAAACTCGTTCCACTGTTTTCTCGAAGATGTTTATTTGAAGAACAATAATTCACGCTTTTTTTCACTACAAAGTGCAAGAGAAATCCATTTTAAATACTATTTATGCATGCGCATTTGTAAATTATATACATCAGTGAAGGAAGCTAGAATGTTGTGATGCTGAATAATTTTTTTTCTTTTGACAATAACAAACTACTTGGTTGAGAAATTTATAGGGATTATTATTAGTTTGGGTTTCCCAGCAGTGTACACCCACAGTCTTACTAAGTGTCATATTCAAATCTTTCAGTGAGGAACTAACCTCCGATCATTAATTTAGGATTGAATGGTTAACATTTACAAATTTACACAGCTCTTGATTGATAAATTGGGTACTAAAAGTATGTCATGTGCTTAACATTTTGAAGATAAAAGTACTAAAAACTCGATACTCTTAATTACGTAAATTTAAAATTACTTACAAGTTGAATATTAAATCGATTTTTATTTAAAATAAAGTACTTTGATTGACATACAATAGATGACTTGATAAGGAACTGAGAGTTTTTATGTTTTTACTCACAGATTGTTTTAATTGTAAGCATATATAAATTGGTTAATCAATGGTACTTTTTGTGCCTGGATATTACTAATTATCATCATATTTTCAGAGTTTAGTTTTATGCAAATCTAAGTTCAGATTTAAGTGGAACCCCAACCATCCCTTAACCAATGCTGATATTTAAGTTCTTAAGAAGCATTTTAAATTCTCTAATTGGTTGAATGGGTAAACTATTAATTTTATAGCTATATATTCCAATTCCTATTAGAATTATCCTATTCCCCTGATAATCACTTTATGTTATGACTAACTAGCTATCACTTGAAGAAGATTAGTCTTAGTATCAGTTCTAAATCATATATGTGTATAATGTTACTTTGTTTTCTAAATGTCTAAATGAGAATTTTTACCTTAATTGATTATATCTGTTCAAAAATGACTTCATGTTGGTATTTTCCAAAGATTTTATCAATATATGTTTTACTTTCATTAAACGTAAATATAGGTGGTGTTTTTTATGACGTCATTTCGATTTACAATAATTTGTGACCTACCACCGGCTAGTACAGCAATCGTAACAGGTGAACAAGTTCGATTAGTTATGAAATCACATGCATTCGTACGCTATGCAATTGGTAGAATATTTGAAGAAGGTCAAGATGAATCAACACCACCATCACCAACGACCAGTGTAACAGTAGGAATCAATAATAATCATCATGTAAACCAATCAAATTCATGTATTATAGAAATGGAGGAATTTCCTAATTTCTCACGTTATCTTTATTTTTTGCTAGCCCCAACTTTAGTTTATCGTGAAAAATATCCACGTACTCGTAGGATACGATGGTATTTTGTTTTTTCCAATTTCTTACAAGTAATTGTTTGTTTTATATTTAGTTATTACATTTTTATGCGTTTTTGTTTCTTACCATTTTCCCAACTTGGTAAATTAAAAAAATTTTCATTCAAAAAATATATTCTAACATCAACAGCTTGTACATTACCAGGTGGTTTATTAATGCTAATTGCATTCTATTCATTTTTGCATTCATGGTTGAATGCATTTGCTGAAATGTTACGTTTTGGTGATCGTTTATTTTATAAAGATTGGTGGAATGCAACAACATTTAGTGTATGGTATCGTACATGGAATGTGATTGTACATGATTGGTTATATACTTATATTTATCGTGATATACAATTCTTAATTGGAAAACATTCACGTACATTGGCAGCAACCGCTGTTTTTTGGTTATCAGCCGGTGTACATGAGTATATTCTAATGATGAGTTTAAGATATTGTTTACCAGTGTTATTTTTATTTTTTAGTGTAGGTGGTTATGTGTTATTTTTTGTACAGGGTAGTGGACGTGGTTGGAATGTAGCTATTTGGATATTACTATTTATTGGTTGGGGTCAAATGATTTGTTTATATTCAATGGAATGGTATGCACGAAAAAACTGTCCACCAGTTATGGATGGTTATCTAAATTTCTTTATGCCACATATTATATTGTGTCCTAGTACTAATCATACTGGGCATGTTTGAAATATTTAGGAAGGAACCCAATACAAAATAAAACAGGCAACTTATTGAAATTTCTATGTATTTCATTTCTTTTCATTTTTATGTCATTGAACTGAAGCATAAAGGAAGAATTTGAAAAGCTTTTCAATTATTATTTACTCTGTCATCTTTCATAAATATATTTTCCATTCTGCTGTCATACAACTCGATTTTTATTTACTTACATTTCTATTTTATTTTATAAATAATTAAATAAACCAAATACAAAGATGTTTCGTTGTTCACAAAACTTGGTTTTGCCGTTGAAATTAATTTACATGACGGTATTATTTAGATGAATATAACCAATAAATGATTATTAATATTAATGACCTTTTAGTTTCGAAGCGCTAACTGTATGGTTGATTTTGAATTTATTACATACATGAAAAGATCATAGATAAATGAATGTATCATTGCTAGAATATAGTTTGGTAAGCGAGCATAAACGTTTAAACCTGAACGGTTTAGCAATATAGGTTGCAAAGTTCTGAGTCTAGAAAGCTAAATATCTATAAATATTTATATAAAATGCCGACTGTAAAGCGTAGTGGAGAAATGGTTTATAACAGTCATAAAGTTACTAACTTTTAATAAGTCACATGAAGCACTGGAAATATGTTTGAAATTACTATTATTATTGGAAACATTTAAAACTGTTGAAGGACGAACTATGGGAGATTATGATAGGTTTCTAAGCCATTGGTAATTAGTGAAGACTTTCCTATAGTTAAAAAAAAGCGGATGTTTTGACAAATGCTGATTTGTTATGACTTGATATTCTAACCGATATCAAGTACTATGTTGCCAATCGGAACGGTGATCTATTTTATGAAGTTACACACTGGCTAACGAACAACAGTCAAGGTCTTAATGCTTGTAAGCTCCTGGGGCCCCTTCTAACCCAGTACCCAATAAGAAGGCGATAACAGGAAGAAAATGAATTCTCTGTTGTACCCAATTCAATCATCATTCAAAACTCGTATAATAATATCACCGGAAATGTGTGACCACACAGCACAGTAAATAAGAAATCATACTTTAATAATATCATATGCAAACAGTACATAATTAATTAGCAGTAAATATGAAATAATGAAGAGTATAACAATAGTCAATAGGTTCACTGAAAAATTACAATAACGAGTACGTCGAAATGAAAGAATTTAACTATCTATTAACTATACAATAAAGAAATAAATAATGGTAATACGAAATATAGCTCTGAAAGCTCCAACTTTCCCAATATTCATGCTGTGTTAATAGACACCTTTTCCGATCACATCTGGCTGAGATTAAATAAGTTAAACTGAAACTCTAAAAAATAGAGATGGCTAATAGAAGTTTCGTGATGTTAACTTGTAAGAAAGTTGAACACGTACTGGAACCAAACTTGGAGAGTTGTGATTTACAAACGGCACATGTACATCCACCTTTACTCAGCTAGTCTTTCGTTTTTAACGAACACAAATAACAGGTCTATTAAGACCACTTTAATTTTGCGTTCATACTATTACTGGTTATTCGAGAATAATCATTTAGAACCTAAATTTCAGGGAAGGATTTTTCAACGAAAAACTAAAATTTAACTAACATATTTAAAAGTACTTTGTAAGATGAATTTCGTCTCCAGTGCCTAGTTGTGTGGTGTTTTATTTCAGCCCACCATTTTCCAGGATTTCTTACAAGTTTTTCTTCCTTCTCTTGTCTAAGTTATGTCCATTTTATTATAAAAAGTTATTTTATGACGGGATTTTAACTTCAAGTAAACTGTTGTCTGAATGCGCTTCTCTATTATACGTTAGGGATCCATATATTTTATAAGTATTCGTTTTGATCCCAATTTGTTTGATATCACACTTTGAAAACATTATTCTCAAACAATATTTACTTTTGAACATGATAAATGTATGTACATCGTTTTGTAAGTACCTTATATAAACATTTGTAATGTGCATAGCTAGAAACAGAATATAAAACAAACATTATCACAGTCCTGATATGCATCTTCATTTTGTTGTTTTAGTGAAACCACAGATGAATGTACAAATAAATATGTCTATTGAAATTCTGAATAAATTACTCCGACATTTGTTTTCGAAAGATTTGCACCTACAATAGCAATTAAATTTGAAAGTAAAGTGTTCCTTAAATCAGCATAAAATTTACTAGAACAATATTGAAATAAAATGCTTGTAAAAATGTAACTGTTATATCCTAGGAACATAAATCATGGATAACTTCTGAAAGCTATTAATGGACTAATATTATACATATATTCTTATTGTATAATTATAAGAAAATAAACTGTATATGCTTATATTCCTCATATTATAAGCTTTTATTTGACCTATTGGTTAGTCATGTGATTTACTATTACTCACAGTTTCTCACAATCACAGACACTTTTGGCTAGATATTGTACAAATGTTATTTTCTGTTTTACGGTGTGATGTGGTCTAATTTGTTAGCATATAAACCAAGTGCGTTTGAAATATATGATTCGATATGACGAAGGCTGATATTTGCGTTCTGGATTGGATCGGCTGGGTTAGACGAGAGGCTGCTCTTTCAAGGACCAGTAAGAACTCTAGGCTGCTCGTACTGGTTTATATCATTGGTCCCGTTAATAAGTTGGTGAATCCAATTGGCGATCGTATCGCGTGATATATTAACAGGGCACAAAGGTCACAAGTTATGACAGTAAAAAAGCCCAGTGTTTTTCAAAGAAAGTTCAGATTCAAAAATATATCTTTTATTAAGTTTATATATGTTTAACGATATATTTAGGTCTTTACAAATAACTCACGCGCTATCTATGAACGTTTACAACCAGGTCTTTTAGATATCAATAATGATGTAGGTGTCCGTTGTTTCGAAAGAAAATTTTCGTTTTCAATACCTTATTTAGGTTTGTACAAAGACACTTTATTCATTAGTTTTAACCGTTATAAAAATAACCAACTAATTGGCTCTGATCTGCTACACGTAAACGTGATCTGTTGTATGAAATCACTCTTGTCTAACACCAGTCTTCAATTGAAATACAGTCAGTCAGTCAGTCAGTCAAACACAACGTAGAACTTGGTGCGTCTGTACATCGGTTTGGGTTGTCTCACCGCGTTAGCACAACGAAATGGAGTTGTCAGTTTAAATCACAGAGTATGAGAAGTTGTAACAGTATTAGTGGTAATTGAAAAGACTGGGAAACGAAGATTTGACTCAAGGAATTATAAATTACTCAAATAAAAATTAAATTACGAGGAACGCAGAAGCTTAGAATTTGTGGGAAGATAAAGAGTAGATGCACTTGGACGATTGCAAACAATTTTGTGTCATGCAATTTACAGCCCTCAGACACTGACTGTGATCATCACGCGCACCCTAACCAGGTAGTCTTTACTTGTTAAAATGACTCAATCCACATAGTCAATATTTTCATGGTTTAGTGTTATGTTTGAATTTGACCGCCCTTAGCTTTCTTCCATCATACTCTCACACCAGACCATGTCGACCGTCGATGTAGGTGGTTGTCGTGTATGAGTAACAAATGTCTCAACTACCTCAGCTGATGAAAATTTAATTCCTCACTAATCGATTCATCAACCTTATTCAATACCCTATTCCCAACACAGTCATTGTTTACTCGATGATCCGAAAATACACGAGCAATGCTCCAAAGACGCCTATCGTTGATACCAGCATCCCACAGTATTCTTTGGTCTTAATGGTCATATACCTATGACCTGTCCTCCACGTTCTATGACCTTGAAATGCAGTCACTCGTAAGAGTTCCGTGTGTTGGTGGCGATTATCTCACGTACTCCATGGTGTCGAAGGAGATTCTGTAACCTGTTGCCATTCACGCTGTAGAATATTTTCTAGTAATGAAGTAAGTTGGTGTTCAGTAATGAGTTTCATTCAATTGATTGCTCAAAAATGATCCGTAACGTCGCGATTTGGACAGAACATGATCGAACTTGACTAAGCTCAACATCTTGATTTTGAAGTTAAACATCTACCAAATCTTTTACTCCGTTTAGTAACACTGTTGGAAACTTTGCTTGCTACTGAGAACTTTCTTCGGTATATTTTTGAGTTATCTCTCTTACCATTCTGTTTGTACTTGTTCTTCCTCCCAAATCCTTATGGAGAAAATGTGAAACAACTTTGTAGTTACCATTGTATCCAACTTCAGTGCTTTAGCTGATGTACTGTCTGGTCCAACTGCTGCTTTTATATTGCTAATTTACCCGACGGCCTTGTTGATTTCTTCGATTACCGTTGAGTGTGATCTATTGGTATGTGTTCTGTTTGTGCTGCTTGGATATCTGGTGGGTTCATTGGGACTGGTCTATTCAACAGCTCTTCAGTGTTCCACTCACCTATTTCGCTTTTCTTGAACCTTAGTGATTGCTTTGTCTTCTTTATTCTTGAATGGTCACTCTGGTTTATAATGTTTTCATACTAGTTTCTTCGTTGTATCATATAGTCGTCTCGTATTTCTTCCTACAGCTTTTTCTGTTGTCATTGCCAGATCTTGCACGTATTTCCGCTTGTCGGCTCCAATGCTCCTGTTCACTTTCTTATTTGCTTCTGTGTATTCGACCTGTAAATTTCCATTCTCTGCTGTTGTCGACTGTTACCTTCTTGTTTTTCCTTTGTCGAATCTTGCACAGGCTGTCTACAACGATGAATTTCTTATAATTGTGCTTCTGGAGTCCCAATAGCTGGACTGATTTTGAAGTTATTGCCTCCTCAATTCCTCTCTAGTTGGTCTACATGTTTTTATAAGTCAGGGTAGACCATAATGTGTTCCTTGTGCTTATACATAAGGTACTCGATTTTAAATGTTACAAATTCTAAAATGTTATATACATACCGCGTTACATCCTCTCGCTTGATATTGTGGACTCCAAATGACCAGTCTCTATTGGCTCATGTATATCATGTTTAGAGCAAGTAACTGAATTCAATGTTTG